ACTCGACTCGATTGAAGAAGAAAACCAACTGGCTGAGCACTCAACTCGGGTAGCAGAGGTGCAAATCCGATAATATTCTATTCCTCCTGCATACCGATACACCATCGACCGTCGTGGTCGTTGCATCGATCGTCTTGTCGTCTAGTTTGTTGCCTGGCTACCAGCGATGAATCGAATCGTATATAGTGCACCGCAGAAAGTGCTTTATTACATGCCACCCTCCCTTGTATCCATTGGTATTGCCACTGTGGCATGTAGAGTTGGTCTTGACTTATGCAATGGCTTCCACAACCACCCTGATGAAGGAAGCATCCAAAAAGAGGGGAAAATGGACTCCTCTAGTTTGATACTTGCTGAGAAATTTCACATCGGCCAAATGGACTTCTAGATACTACTGCTGCGATGGGCATGCAAATATTGACAAAGTAGGTATGGAGAGTACCTTCTGAATACTACCATGAGAGTGACAAAGTACATCTACTTTAGAGGAGGGAGCAGTGGCAAGAAAAAATGAGGGGTGGTGGCTTGTTTTTGATGTGATGTTGTTTTGTGCTTGCCAGCAGCAGAGGGCGGCTCAACCAGTGCCAGAGATACCATGGTTCGAAAGCTGGTACCAGTACCGCTTCCTAAGCGGCAAAAACAGGATGCATCTTTTACTGGTACCCGCCATTAGCTGTTCCACCCACAGAAATCCATGGTGTTCCGTGCATGCCTCTGGAGGCTCTTGGTTTTGACCAAGGCTCTTGGTCTTTAGGCTGGTAGCACGACTGGTCATCGAAGGCACACGCCGAGACATCGTGTTGAATTTGGTGAAGTGGGATTTAATTATTATTCTAAAAAACAATATCTACCATGTGGTCAGCAAGACTCAAGTGCACCTTTTACTGATACAGTAAGTCGCCGTGTCCAGCAGCTGTTTATGCCCGTCTCTAACTCGTCAGGTACCCCAAGGACTTACCCAGAGTCTTACGCTTCCGTAAACTCCCAAAGCGCAATGATGACTGTTCTGTCACCCGCCACTCCTTCGACGAAGCAGGATGCAAAGATGCTGAAGGGCAAAGCGGAAACCACTATATCTGTGCGAACATCATCCACAAGAACCAAACAATACTCATGATGAGGAAGCCTTGTAGCTACCTACTCCTACATGTACCTCTGACTGTTGGAGTCTTATTGTCGAACCTTGGGCAAGCCAGTGCAGTATCAAGAAGAAGTATTCTTGAAGAAACAAACACTCTTCCAAATTCCACCATTCAATATGAGTCCTTGCCAAGGTGCAACATGACCACCAAGCAACTGGGTGAAGCTGATGCCTCAGCCATCATTGAGCCATGTATTCTACATGACGTCTTCCCTACCAATAACATCACAGATACACAGCACAACCAAAGCAGCACTATCACTGTGGTTGGGGTGTTTCCTTCTAGTTGCCTCCCACATCGTGATGGTGCCGTTATTGCTGCTGAGATAATAAATGAAGGCAACCATGGCAAAGGAGCAAAGATTGGGTATAATGGTGACCATTATCTTCAGTTCCGGCTGGTTGTAGCCATTTCTGGTAACTCACAACAGCTGTCACCCGATGTCTATGCCACAACTCATGAGGACCTTCTCGAGTCAATGGTTGTGTCACTGAAGCCTCAGTATATTCTGGGATCTTGCTCTTTTGTTGCCAAACACGACGACAAGAGGATCGCTGGCAAGCGCCAAACAATGGTATTGAGCCAGGTGGGGCCTGACATTTTCTACACCCAAGATTCCAATGACTATGTCTTTGGTGTACACGTCCGAAGTGAAACTTATGGGCTACCAGCATTTCAAGCACTAAAGTTTAGTGTGGAGGACAGGACCAAGCAGAAGATTTGAATCCTACATCGTGACAGGTCTGAGTTTTTTAACTCTACTTGTCGGGAGATTTACAAGCATGCACTACAGGATGGATTCACTGATACTGTTGCAATCTCGTATAATCCTGAGGGTGACCATGATGATAGTGGGGTGCAAAATCAGCAAGATGTGGCTTTCCTGAGAGCTTTGGCAGATGATGTTTGCCCCCCAAACCAGACAATTAGTGACGATGATCCACCAGTTGCCATCTGGGCCTGTGTCTAGACCGACCTCGAAACCAACACAATCTTGGACCGTTGGAAGGCGAACGGGTGTCAGCCATCATCTTTGTGGCTCACAACGGCTGCCTGGGCTTACGCAGATAAATTTCCAGAAAATTTGCCATACACACAAACAGGAGCACAATGGCACAAAGCAATGATGTACTCTGATGAGTACTTTTCAAATGGGCAGGCCATGCTGGAATATCTTGCTGCACGCTTTCACTATCCTCCACATTATGGTGCCTTGGGGGCATACCAGGCAATCTACCTCATGTACAAAAGCACAGCAAGTTTCGTGAAAACAAAGGATTTCCCCAATGTCAATGATATTTACCAAACTCAGTATGAAGAAATCCGTCGCCATCTCTTGGGGTTGAGCGTGCGCGACTCACTCTACGGGCAGTCCAATTTCAATGAATATCGAAGGAATATTGGAAGGGGATCAGCCGGCATGCAATGGGGGATTCCTTTTGGTTCATCAACAAATGAGACTGAAATGGAACTACTCCTTGTGTCGCCCATAGACCAAGCTGAAGTTGCAGTTTTGGTGCCAGCTCCCACATCTTTGGATTGTCTAGCTGGTTACTTTGTGAATCAATCAGCAATTGCCGAATAGAGCTCAATACTCACAGATAAGTGCAGTCCCTGCCCTGTTGATACTTACCGAAGGGTGGGAATGTCACTATATGAGTGCCAACCCTGCAATGATGGGTCAGGGACTGATGCTTCCATGGGTGCTGCAATATGCTAACAGGTGGAAGACAATCTAATTCCAAGAGGGCTGTTAGCTTTTGGATACTTTATCATGTCGCTGTCATTGTGTTGTTCCCTTGGCTTTGCAGTTTGGACTGTTGTTCATCGCTATGATCCTGTGGTCAAAATTGGTCAACTTGAATTCCTTCTCTTGATCTGCCTGGGTTCCATGATATCAAGTTCTTCTATCCTCCCACTCTCGATCCAAGCTGGGACAAAAGACAAAACAACTGCTGCATCTGCAGCCTGCATAGCTATTCCGTGGCTTTACAGTACAGGATGGATCACCCAGTATGCCAGTTTGTTTGCCAAGTCCTACAGAATGTTCCAGATGGTGCAAAATTCCACTGCAATGCGGCGTACCACTGTGACAGCATGGGATGTGGCCTATGTGGTTCTTGGGTGTTTGCTAGTCAACTGGGCTGTGTTGACTGCATGGACTGTGGTTGATCCACTTGCTTGGGTTCGCCATGATATGGGGACTTCAGTTTATGAAGAGGCTGGAATCATGACAACTGAGTCTGTTGGAGGATGCTCGTCCGAGAATGTGGGAGCCTGGATTGGATCCTTGTTGAGCTTTCACCTGACCATTATGATTGCGACCAACTTTCTGCTGTGGCAACTTCGTGGCGTGAGAGACCGCTACCAAGAATCCAAATACATCACCCTGGCTTCCTTGTTTGCGTGTGAGTTTCTGTTGCTAGGGGTTCCCATTTTGATTGCAGTTGGGGACTCCTCCAGGGCCCGCCATATTGCCCTTGTCTGCATTATTGGGTTGACGGATCTTGGAGTTCTCTTGTTTGTTTTTGTCCCCAAGATCAGATATCAACAGAAGGGGCTACCTGATGGCATGACAGTAGGAAGAAGCATCTTAAAGTCAAGTCCAGTAAGTGGAGTATCTGGTCAGCAAGGAAGCAGCCACATGTATGGAGAATCAACCACAGCAGGGCCAGCCGGGATATCACAAGGGCAGATGGAGCTAACGCCTGCACTGCCGGAAGAAGATGGATACTCTGATGAAGAGACTTGAGCTGCAGCAATGAAGCAAAAACATGATGCTGAACTTGCAACCGACTCCATGCATGCACCTTTTTCATCTCAGCTCTGGTACTTTTCATGGGGGTCAATGGAGCAAAAAGAAGAGATTAAAAGATGATGGATGCAACGATTCTCTACCTGGCCCTTCTAATTCTGGTACTTGTTAAGGACGAAATGTAGAAGATCATTCAGCGCGGAGCAGAGCGATTGTAATGCAAGGAATTGCTAAGTAGCTAGCTAGATAGATTAATTAACTTTGTGAGACTTGCTACCTGGTACCGGCCAGCAGCAACCACAACCAGCTCCCAGACCATCAACGGACGCCCTTTCTCCATTTTCTGCCTTCAGAAGATACTGGCTGCACGACTGGACTTAGTGCCGTTGGTTTCTTCGCCAAATCATGGCCGCAGCGACAAACTTCTCTTCTTCCACTTCGAGCTTCCGGGATGGAATACCAACCCTTTTGAAACACTTATTCATACCTTCCTTCTATCTTAGTTACTCACCATCCATGGCCCGGACCAAACAGACAGCTCGAAAGGGCCTTGCGCCAAAGCTTAAGGCTCGAGCACCTCAGGCTCGACCGATTCCTCAGGCCAAAGGTCTGGACAATGAGATTTGGACGGTGATCTTTGCCTTTATTGGAGATGCGGTCAGCTTTCGAGCCCTGGAACAAACCTGCAAGCAGTTTCACAAGATATTGAAGAGCGATAATGTTTGGAAAGCTTGTTTTGGGGAACCGGTGGATCGGAACAGCTGGGAGAACGAGTACGAGACGTACTATCGAGATGAGGCATTTACCGGTATTGCCTGTCGCAATATTCAAAAGTGGCAAGCCAGAACCGAAAATATTCTATTGGATGTCTATGGTCAGCTTTGGAAAGAAGACGTGGAAAATATGCTCAACACGTCTCCGTATATTGCCGAGAATGCCCGCAGCAACCAACATGTTTTTCGTTTGCGTGGGGATGCTGCCTTTACGTTGGCTTGCATTGTGGAAAGCTGCCTGATTCGATTGCTAGAAGAGGCCCAACTCTGCGCCATTCGAAGTTCCCATCGCCCAGAAGGACATGCAGTGCTACCACGAGATATTCAAGCCGCACGTGAAACACTGGTACCGCACCCGTTTCATCATATTCGCTATTGGGAGGGACAGAGAGGAAACACCTACGTGAGACGGATTTCCCATCGAGCCGGAATTACCAAACTTGTGAATTTCAGCTACGAAGAGGTAACAAGTTCGATGCTATCATTTTCCCATCGCTTGGCGTTGCCTGCAGCCATGGAACTGGCGTCCAGACCGAGAACAACAGGGCGCCCAAAACTGGTACTCGAGATTGGTGACAGCATGAGGGACATTGCCCCGTACCCCGAACGAATCCAAGAGGAACCACCGCAATGGAGGCATGTCATTGTCCCTCGACAGATTGAAGCTGCTGCTGAACGCAACAAACTGCCAAGTACTAGGGTGTATGGTGATGGGTGGTTTGTAGCCGCTGAGGTGGAAAATGGAGAAGCTCGGGAGCGGGAAGAAGCCCTTGCCATGTATACAAATGCTGATGGAGAGGAGTTTGAGGACATGGAAGAAGTCTCTCTTTACGATGATGAGTCTGTCAGTGAAGATGACATGAACCAGGATGACACTATCTCCCTTCGCAAGCTGCAAGCATACATTGATGTACCGGGACACGGTCGAGATTGGCTGACAAATAGACCCGAATTTCGAGCAACTGTACAAAAGTGCCTTGGCTCACATGTTGACATAGACGAGTGCATCAAAGTTTTGGATAGTGACGAGGACATGTTCCGGTCACGTGAAGACGAAGACATGAATGAGGAAGACTTTGAATGGGAGGAAATCACGCAAGGTAACTATGTAGCCAGACAACTTCCCCTTGGACGAAATGGCAGACCACTGTTCTATCTTGAACCTACACAAATGGATGGCGCTACAGAGTGAGAGAAGCGTGCCGTACACTGGCTTCTGGTACCTGGTACCGGTACCACCGGTGCATCGTAGAACCACGGTACAGTAATGGCACCTCCTGTTTGCTGGCATCTGGAGGGTTGGTCTTATCGCGGCATTTCAAGCTTACCCGGTACCTAAAAGAGCTAATAATGACCATTGGCACTTTCGCACAGCTCCAAACACTCGCAGAAATGGTACCCCATTGCGCACTTCCACCAGGATTCCCAACCGGGTACCATTTCTTACTCCGTTTTGAGCTGCGCGAATCTTCCAATCACAATTTAGTGCGCCAGCCGAAGGCGCAGCTAAACACAAATCTAAACTCTAATCCATCGTATACCTCTCATCAACTCTCCATCGAACCAACACAAACCAACACAACAAGTTGCTTGTTGTAGGAACACGATGACCGACTACTTGGATGATGATGCCTTGGCAGAGATGCGCCTATTGATGCACTTGCTAATATTCGCAGTGGGGCTATTGTTGTTTGTCCCAGAATCCAGAAACCCTTCTACGTTTGACCAAAGGTTGGCATGGCATGATTATGTGCAAAGGCACAACTGTCGTGGCACTTTGAAAAGACGTCTTCGAATGTCTCTGCCATCCTTCAACAAGCTTTTGGAGATTATGAGAGAAGACCTGGAAGTGTCCGAGCTACAGGCTGAGTGTAGGGGTGGCTCCATTATCCCCACATTATGCTTGTATTGCACTCTGCGCTGGTTGGCAGAGGGCTCATATTTGGATATTTGCGATGTTTCTGGTATTTCCAAAGCATCATTTTACAGAGTGGTTTGGAAGACTATTACGGCTATTGCAAAGTGCACTGCATTGAAGTTGCGCTTTCCCAAAACAGCTGAGGAGATCAGAGCTGCCACAGCCGGATTTGCCAGCATCAGTGATCAACAAACGATAATCAACTGTGCCACTGTATGTGATGGATATCTGATGTGAATAAGAGTTCCCAGCAGGAGAGAAGTGGGAAATGTCCGTTCTTACTTCTCTGGACACTACCAATGCTAAGGAGTTAACATTCAAGCAGCTGTGGATCACCACTGTCGATTCACCTTCTTTGCTTTTGCTGCACCAGGTGTCAGTGGTGATCGCGATGCAATCAAGCAATGTTCTCTGCACGACCTTGTTGAAAGCTTGCCGCTTGGGGTATGCTGCATTGGTGATGCGGCCTATGTTCCCACCGAACACATGGTGCCAATCTATCAAGGTGGAGACAAGTACCAGCGAAAGTATGACAATTTCAACTTCTTTGCAAGCCAATTGCGCATCAGAGTGGAGATGGCTTTTGGCATCATGCAAATGAAATGGGGTATTCTGCAAAGACCAGTGTCATGCACAATGGCCAATATGCGCTATCTCACTGCAGCTATCTCCCGACTGCACAACTTTTGCATTAATGAGCGACTCTCGGACCAAGAAGAGATAGTAGAAGGAACCCTCCCAAGATACCTTCCTACAGTTCCCCATGGTGAAGATGGTGATCCAGTGGCATTGGATGGAGCGGCTTTCATTGGCTCGGTGGATGCTCATTATTATTTGCGGGAACGTATGGTGGCTGGAACGAGTGGAAAGATTGCAAATGTCGCGACCTGGCAATGAAAGGCCCTCTAAGCGTAGACGATTCAATGATTAACAACACAATTTATTTCTTTATAACTTCTACAAGCAACTAGCTAGTTTGTCTGCTGAGTTGGTTCGCTTGCCACACTGGTCTCCACTGTGACGACTTCCAATTCTGCTGGATTTAAAGGAATGCCATACTCCACCAGCTTCTTGTTGAGTTCTCTTGTGGCACTGAAAGGGCCGTCCAACCCAAGTGTCTTCTCCAGCTTTCAAATACGCACTGCCATGTTGCGTGCAAGAGAAATCTTGTTGCGATCCTGCAGCATGCTCAAGAATTGGTCGGATATGGATGTGTATTGGTTCCATGCTCTGTCTTCTGATTCCAACTTGGCCTTTTCTGCATCCAACCTGGCCTTCTCTTCGCTCACTTCCCTTTTGACAGCATTGTTGTCACTCATGTTTGTTGTTGCCAGAACGATTGCAGTGCACAAGCTGTCCAGTTGTTTGTTCTTCCTGCCTACAGTGCCAGTGCTGTCTCCTGCAGCACCAGCACTTCCAGTTAACGCAACTTCCGAATCAGATTGTTGAGTGGATGTCATGAAGGCCGCAAATTTGCCATCGATATCAGGGAAGGCCTTGCAGAGAACCTCACAATAGTACACTGCCTTCGCTGGGACTGTACAACTCTTCCTCAACTTGCAGAACTTGGTTGTGGTACAGTAGTTCCACATATCGGCACTTCCCTGTCCAGACTTTCTCATCTCTCCAAGACAATTCTCTCTTGCTTTCATGGCGTCACTGGCAAGCTGCTGGCATGACTCCCACATTTGTGGGTGGTTGAATTCGTTGAGGTTGAATTCACCGTCTTGGTTGAACTTGTGCAGTCTTGCATCTTCGTCTTCGTTGCTAAAGAGAACAACCCCAATGACTGTATTGTTGCTTGGATCATTCACCATCTCCGACACACTATGCCAGAAGTCTTTCACAGGGTTTCCTCCATGTGCCGATTTATACTCTTTCCTCTTCTTGTTGTCATTGATAGTGATGAAGGTAGCAACCATGGTCTTGTGAAACACAGCGTTGATCATTCTCATGTAAGTGAAGATGCGCCTGTCGATTGGCAGCCAATTGACAGATGGATTTCCAGTAAGTGAGTTGTCATTGTACACTGTCCCAGTGTCCATCCATAAAGCGATGTGTCTCCTTGCATCGAAAAGGTTCATTGGCCTCCTCTTCGCACTCCACAGTTGCCAGCAAGCTTCCTTATTTGTGCACACTTCAACTCTGCCAGGTCGATCTTGGTTTCATTCTGAAGGCCCCGGTTCACTGTCAGCCATTTAGCGACTCTGTGAAACTCCCGGTCGTCTGCCCTCTTTTCATCTTGTTCTTTGACACAAGAAAGTAGTTCCTTTTTGTCTTTCGTAAAGTGATGTACTGTGGTGTCAACTAGCTTTGGAAGTTTTCTTCTTCTTCCTTGGTTCGCCCATGTTTGTTGACGTTATTCTTTTTCTTTTTCTTCGCAGCTGTCGTCAGTGGGGATGGAGCCCTACTAACGGGTGCACTGGTGGTTCTCCTGTTCTTGTCCTTGCTGGGAAGTGGGGGTCTCCCCTTTCCATTATCATAGTAGTATGGATGACCGTCAGAACCAGCACACATATAAGGGGGCCATGGGTCCATTTGATACGGCTCGAGTGGTGCTGGAGATTGATGAACTGCCCATTGCATTCCTGGCATTGGCATAAGCCCTACATTGATTGGAGCTCGAGTAACAGCAGAAGCAAAGATGGGGGGACCTTGGGATAATTGAGAAGGCTGTGACAACTGATATGGAAACGGCTGCTGGGTGTACTGAGACTGCAAAAGATCTTGCGTTCCCACTAGTGGGGAGGGAGTTTTGCGAACTGCTGCCGGTTGCTTGGCTGGAACATCATTATCTTCCTCTGACGACGATGGGGAGTTGTGTGCAGCTTCTTGCATTGCTTCCTTCTGCGCTCTGACCCTTCTGATCTTGGCCAATTCACTTTTAATAGTTGGACTATCGTCACTGTCATTATCCTCTTTGTCCGACAGGGCTAACAGCCATTTGTGATGAGAGATTACTATCTACAAAAGAGACGATTTTTTGGAAGTTTGTGGTGATGAGCGGCAATCCCACGCAGCTGGCTTTAAGACTAATAATCATTTATTCATTACTAGATATCATTGCTTCTCTCTTTGCCTCTCAACTATAGTGCATTGCAGCAACCATTGTTTTTCTCTCTTTAGATGGGCGTCGCCCCATCTTTCTTTACTTGCATCAATCATAACACAATCATAATCATCCCTTGTCGTTGTTTACGTCATTGGCGAAGATGATTGTGATTGTGAAGAAGTTGGCATTCGGCTTGCGATTGGGTAGCACGAATGAGAAAGGATTCTTGAGTAACTTGGAATTGTGTTAAGACTGGGTGACGTACTCAGTTTTGAGTACCGGTTGGTGTCAAGTAAGCAGAACCCACGAGGTGTGTTACACGCAACCATAAGACCTACCCTGAGGGCCAGCAAGCAGCTGAGCAGCCAGCAGCCAAAATGTGGGAGGGAACGAACGCACGGGTTTGACCTGCTCCCGTAACCGTCATAACCGTGCTTACCAATGAATTCAGCAACCGTGAATGACCGTGATGTTCTGGACTGGTGACGAGATGCGTGACCCGTTCAGTCTTGGACTAGCGGCAGCAAAAAGTGTTGGAGACCATTCGCTTTTTGGAGCGAGACAATGGCCGACGATGAGCCTATGTGCGACGGACTGCCGATGAGCCTGGGACAAATGCATGAATGCCTCCAAGAGTGTCATGGAATTCCAGTTGTGTTGAGAGAACAAGGAACAACAGGTGTGACATGCCGTCATTGCAATAGTACTTCACAAGAAGAGACTTCAAAACAACAATGATCTTGCCGACGAGATTATCAACGAACACGATATCTAACTCCATCGATCAAGTTTTTCAGTTAACTAGGGATAACCTTAATATTAGTCAACTAGGGCACTAATTTATTTTCAGTCAATCTACTTTCATCGTATCTAACTCCATCAATAAAGCATTTACTTGCAACTTATGCACTTGCGCTTGCTCAATTAACTCCATCGATCAAGTTTTTCAGTCAACTAGGGATTTACCTTAACTCCAATCCGAATCGTTCACTCTTCACCGTGGGATGCCTATTTTTGCGAAAATTGCAGCCGCTGCGCATAATAATGGTCCAAGATGTCATTCATCATAATGGTCCAAGATGTCATTCACCATGCTCGCGAGCTTGTCTACCCAGTTGTTGAACTGCACTACGCTAAAAGCTAGTGTAAAGATCTTTCGAGTGTTTTGAGTTTGAGAGAATGAAAGTTATAAGAGAGATTAAGAAAGCTATAAACTAATCACGAGAGAGATCCACAATCAAAGGATCGTGATCTGAAACCCGCGGGAGACTGTAGAGTGTGATAGAGTAGGTTGCGGTAGCAATCCTACTCACTCCACGATCAAAAACGGAACGCGTGGAAGATCGTCTAGCATTTATCTAGTAGACGTTGTGGAAGTACTCCACGCTGGCTAAATATCTAGAGCGATGTTTCATCATCAACCTAGTATGGACTAGAGCGGTCATTGAAACCCTCTCAAAAACTATTCACGAGAGACTCAGTCATGAGTCGAACTCAAACCTATCTAGGATCGAGTCGCAAATAAGGCTAAGAGCCGTGTAGCATTCGCCCCTGACAAGGGTCAAGAAGGCGACGACATCAGTCGGGCCCAAAGGAGAAAACATATGAATTAAAGTGCGGGTCACTCTCACCGGAGTGTCGGATGTAGACATGTGCGTCGCAGAATGGCAATCCTACAAGGGGCATAGGCCTTGTATGGTGTTAAATCACTTATGTTCAAAGCTGGTAGACTGTGCCGCTACTGGGCGGTAAGTAATGTCGGAGCCGTACAGTGCATTGATATTGACTCGGTCTGTGTGGTAGGACCTTGTGGCGTTGCAACCTACTAACGGTTCTGATCCTGATAAATCATCATAGTTACTTGACATGGTGTTGATGAGGGATACGTCGTGTTCTCCTTATTCGTGTTTTTCTGGATGAAGTCGTTGGCGACGGTCTCTTAATGTATTTCCGGTTTGTTTGAAACGGATGTGGTGAATCTTGTCACGATTGACGCGGTTGAACTTGCGACGAAGTCCAATATTCTCCCGGAGAGTCTCTGAACTCTGACGCGGGAATCACGTTCTCTTCCATGAAAACCGGTCATGGATACTGGTAACCCACGTCTGTTTCAGAACGATGGTTACTCCGTCTGCTGTCTGGGAGCAGCCCTTGGTAGTTCATTGGTTCAACGAATCCACGAAGTTCCTTCCTGTTTGCGGGAAGAGCGATAGCTGGATCGCATCAATTATCTTTCTAGTTAAAGGTTGGATTCCTTCTCGAGAAGCCCAATTGTTTAGTTATTCCAGTTCTTCCTATTGAAGAAGGCCTTGGTAGTGTTGTTTTTACCCGACTTCTCGAAGTCTTGGAAAAGGTCATCTAACTATTCAACGCGATTCGCCAGATCGACGTCAGTTAGGATGAGTTGATCATCAATGTATGCACGACCATTTTCTAAGTCATGCATGCGTTTTTCATCTTCCTTTGGAAGTTGTCGGGACTATTACATGAGCCCATTGGCAACCTCTGGTACTACGTGCTTTCCCTCGGGAGTGCAATGGTGCAGTGTTGCTTCGAGTGAGGTGAAAGCTCATGTGATAGTGTCCCACGTTCAGGTCTAGACTAGTAGCGTACTTGAACCCATCTAGATTCAAGAGCATGTCCTGTATTTTTGGGATAGATAAGGCCTTCCGCTTGATGCTTTTGTTCGGTTCCCGGAAAACAGAGAAGAATCGTACAGAATCCATCTTTCTTGGGAGTTATAAAAGTTGGTGCCGCCACTCGGAACGATTCACCCTTCTTGAGTGCTCCTGCCTCGCAGAAGAGCTGTTCAACCTCCTTCTTAAGAATGTTGGTATGGACCCGTGAGTAGGGTGAGCCCTAGTATAAAAGGATTTAGCGTCGGGACACAGTTCTACTTCATAGTCGGTCATTCGCAACTCTCCCAAAGTATCTTCGACTGGGCCGAAGCACTTGGTTGAAAAGGCATGAGGGAGTTCTTGCTCTGCCTTATTTAACTGGTTTTGACTCTAGCACATCTGCCTTAAATCAGTTTGTTCGTATTTGTATCAGTGAATTTTCTTGAGACTGTCTGCACTGTCGTTGACATCTGCAGGATCGGGAATGTAGAATTTCTCCTTTCTATTGGCATCGCCATCTTTCGCAGGAAAAAATACGCTGTTCCACTCCTTTGAGCAATGGTAGTGAAATCAAACTTGATTCTTAGGTCGCAGGGAGTGTCTTGAGCTATGATCATGTCTTGCGGCCCCCAAGTTTCTTGGTGACGTGTAAATTCATTCGATAATTCTATCAACGTGGAACTCAGGAATCAAGAGTGTGCACTTACACTTCGGCGGGGTTTCAATTCCACAAGAAGCAGTCCGTAATGTTTGGACGCCCCCATGATTCTTCAAGAGTAAACTCTT